CCATCGATGCTTATCCTTTTACTCTAATTTGTTCACTAATCGTATATACTCGTATCACGCCTTCACTATCACAATTTTTACTTGCTTATTTAAATGTGGTATGTTGTGCCCTTTTGAGCGGATTTCATGGAGACTCTCCACACTCCATGCTGGCTTTCTCACGCCCTAACCCCCTTTCACCCTTGTGCTGGGAATGTTGATCAGAGTCTGCACTTTTGTTACTTAGTTCTCCTTCCATGGATCTTATCAGTCTCCCTCTTGCCCCTATAATCCGTCTGCTATCTGCCTGGTTCAAGTATTTCACTCGACCTTTGCCGCCCCATCTGTGCTACTCGAGGTATTATTTCTCACACTGCCTCTAGGGGACTAACTTGATGCTAAAGTCCGAGTAATTCTCCCTGGACCATGTCTATAGTAAAACTGGTCTACTGTCAGCCAACTAGATCTAGCCTCCGCCGCGTCTATCCTATTTCTATCCGTAATACCAGGTCTATGACTTCCTATACCCTAGTCTCTCGTGTGCAAACTAACAAATGTTATGGTTCAACATTGAACCTAATCAAAGCAAGCACTACCACAACATTTGTGTGAATGAGAGATACCATGATTGTTTAGAATACAATTGGTCAAAGGATTGGCTTCCATTATTTCTTAGACGAGTTATAGTGTGGTGCTAAGAATGGCATGACTCACTCACGATGCCGGCGAAACGTCTTGGAATGTACCACGTCCGCGGTCCAACAATGGACTTCGGACTAGGTGCGTTCTTCTAAGTAATAGATAAAGTTTGTATGGGCTATTGGTGAGAATATATGAGCAGGAGAATAGCAAAGATACGGGGATTGGACAAGGTGACTTAGACAGCTTTTTGGGTTTGTTTAGTCATCTGGAGACGCCATTATGGCTGCAAAGGAACAACGTACATAGGTGGTTTTTGAAGTCGGTCCTGTGGCAATCATTTTTGATTTGAGGAGCTAGGGTAATCTTCTAGACGTGGATCCTTGCTTTGCTTTGGACAAAGACGCTAGCTGAGTGCGGTAGCTTGCGTGTGGAGGCACTCATTCATAGTTCTTACAACTTTTTGTATTTTCCTGCTGTACCCTTTTAATAATTTCTTCCTCTCAGATTATCATGCGAAATAAAGAGTTTGAGCTAATGATCCATTTGGTGGAGTTTTCCTAAAGCCCTAGACAGCTAAATTTCATAATAGCAATACATGTCTATGCACATGCACAACATAGATTTTCCTGCCATTCAAAATTTACCATTCACATTATTTATTATCGTTTACTAGGAGATAATTAAATAAAACGCAGTTTAAGTGAGGATTTTATCAAAATTAGATCAAAAATAAAGCTATAGAGGATTGAGATGTTGCATCTTGTCACTTTTATCTGATTGATATTTTCTGAAGTTGTGTTTATCGAGGCTTTTTTGCCACTGCTATTCACATAGAGGACATGACCTAATTAAGTATACATAAGTCTAACGACATCTTGTGTAAAGGAATACCCTCTTTTTAGACAATAGTCTTAAACCGTTTTGTTTTCTTGTCCTAATGCCTATGTATAGGAGACCTGGTAAGTCGATAGCAATAAACAGAACAACAATATTCATTAATAGGTGGGACGGAGTGTAGTTAATACAGTGGGAACTCTTTGTGGCTACTGATTATACTTAATGAAAGGGGAAGAAAGAGGTGCAGAAGGAACCACTGAGCAAGAGGCTTGAATAGCTTCTAGTCTGGTTGGGAACCTCATATTTCACATAATTTGTGCACGGCACACGCGTAGTACAAGTACAACCATGTCTAAGCTTCACTAAAAACTTTACTACAACCGCTTGGACTATCATTTCTCACAATGAATTTTTCCCCTATCCTTAATTTTGATTAATATATTGCTTGCTAAAAGAGAGGCATCTTCCATTGTTTGATGCTGAATTTTTTTTATTTACGTAATTTTCTTTTCCTTTTCAGCCTCAGGACTCTATCCATTATGATAAGACGATGACCAACTTTTCAGGTGTGTTGGGGCTTTCTTCTTCTTCGAAACTCTCCAGCAGCACCAATGACCTGATTTCTCCCTCTCACTTATCCTCATCTTCCTCCGCGTCCTCTTGTTTTTTGGACTCGAGCCCTAATGATCCATCATTGTGGAACAGTGGGTCAGAGATTTTCAAACCGATTTCCTCTTTGCGGGTTCCTTCCTGCACTGATACCGGCTTAGATTCTGTCCACAGCTGCTTCCATGAATCTGATCGCCCTGATTCTCATGTGAACGACCCTCTTCTTTTTCACGCTATACGGACTCGTAGTGATGCGGTCGAAGCACGCCTAAGACAGGCTAGTAATGTCAATAGTCTGCTGAGCGCCACTGTCCAACAGACTTCTGAAGGCGTTAATATTTGTATCCGCGAAGATTCGTCTGGCTTAATATCTGCTGGAAAGGCCGCTAACCAAGTTTTATCTTCCAGGGAAACTAAGCCTCTATCCCAATCGAAATCTCTGCCACAATCAGCTAAGCTGCCAGAACTGCGGCAGCAACCCAATCTTGGTTCTTTTGGCCAGAATTCATTTGATGATGCAGCTAGCTCAGGTTTACCTAGCTCAATGACTGCATTTGGCCTTGTTGGCGTTGTAAGGTTCCTGCGCGGCTACTATCTGATTTTGATTACAAAGAGGAAGCAAGTGGCGACGATTGGTGAGCACAAGATCTATAAGGTAAAATGTCCTTATCGGATGACAGGTTGAGGGTAACAATCAACAATTATATGCTAAGTATATATTTTCTATCTCGTAATTATTGCGGTGAGAATAACCAAGGGGTATTGAATTTGTCTCACATCATTCGTTTTGATCATGTTGTTCCTGCATTTAACAGCAAAATAGAGAAGCCATTTAAATCAACCGACTAGGCAGCACATCGAATGTCGGGAATTCATAGACTTACGAATAGAGAAGGTATTGAGCCGGTTATAAAAAGGAGACGACTTAACGAGTCGTTTCTTATCATACTTTTAAATACGATTACTTTTATGTACGTCTTTGTCCCGTAGCTAAATGCTCATCAAGATACCAGACGTGTCCGATTTAACACACTTGGAGTAATGATTAAAGCATAGAAAAAGGGGGTGGTTTTGGTCATTAAGCTTCGATGACAGAAAACAGATGTTGCGTTGTAATTATTTTGAACTTGTCCTACATTGTTTCGTATATACACGAATAGATAGATATGCATGAACATACACATACTTCGAGATAGATAAATAATTTTAAGTAGCCAAATCACTTTATATCTCATCAAAAGGCATATATATT